CTAAGCCCTAGAGCAACACTCACCGCAAGCGTGAGGGCCGGCATTCCCATAGACATGGCGATCACAGACATGTTCACATCCTCCGTCAACAGAACCACTCCTTTCGTCTTTGCCTTATTGGTACTCTTGTCTGTTTCATTGAGCTTCCGCTGGAAGCGCAACGCACACTGAATGATCTTGTCATCGTGTGATTCTCCTATATGTATGTCGTCCTGTGATATAGATGAGAAGGTGCATATATAAGACTTGTTTGTTGATGAGCTTATATGTATATATTCATACTGTATAACTATGCATCTCTATCTTTATATTAAATACTGACACAAATATAAACTACATATTCAACAAAACTGTATATTTAAACTAAATACTCAAACATCCATATATACACCCTCTCTTAACGGATTAATTATTTCCGTTGCGTTTCCGTTGGAATTGCAGGGCACCCTGAATAATCCTGTCATCTTATGATTCCCCTACAAGTCCAGGGCATCCCAAGTAATCCTGTCATCTTATGATTCCCCTACACGTACAGGGCACCCCAAATAATCCTGCCTTCTTTTGACTCCCCTACACGTACACGGCACCCCAAATAATCCTGTCATCTTATGATTCCCCCTACAAGTCCAGGGCATCCCAAGTAATCCTGTCATCTTATGACTCCCCTACACGTACAGTGTACCCCGGGTAATCCTACCATCTTATGATTCCCCTCAAGTACAGGGCATCCCAAGTAATCCTGTCATCTTATGATTCCCCTACACGTACAGGGCACCCCAAATAATCCTGTCATCTTATGACTCCCCCACACGTAGGTCGTCCTGAGTCACAGATGCGCACGTGCTTATACAACTCTTACCCATCCGTGAGCGTGCATATATACAGTGAAGTAGATCAGTCACAGGATACGAGGGCCATGCACGCTGGTAGTGTGCTACCTTAACACGGCATTACTTCCACACACACATATATATATACTGTCGAGTATATCGTTACGACTGTACGCCTATCACAGTATATGCAAGGATAGGCTTATATTATTAGTAAAGCGAATGCCAAACCTAACTCCTGAACCTTAAAACCCTAAACCCCAAAAACCCTCACGTTCGTTGCCCATATGTTATAGCCTACGCCACTGCACTCCCACACACTCAACAGCCAACCCAATCCCTAAACCCTAAATCCCTAAATCCCTAACCTTTGTTGCACAAATGCAATCACCTACACCACTGAACTCACACACTCAGAACCTGTCCCAAACCCTAATTCCTTAAAACTCTAGAAAAACTCTAAATCCCTAAATCCCTCACCTCCGTTGCGGGTATGTTATCGCCTACCACACTACCGTCTCCGCTCATTAGTGCGTCTTTCAGATAATGTGATGCCTGTCGTGCATAACCAGCCAGACCCGTCCTCCTACATGGTAGTGTGTGTATGTAGGGTTAGGGTTTAGTCAATGGTAGTGTGTGTATGTATTGCTTAGGATCGAGTCAATGGAAGTGTGTGTATGGCAGTATGTATATGGTGTGCGTAACAATCACGAGTGATAGACTAGACTTGTACAAGTGTGTGTGTGTGTGTATAGTCATGTATACAGTAATAGACTAGACTCGTACAAGTGTGTGTGTGTGTGTGTGTGTATAGTCATGTATGCAGTCTCTGGTGAATCCATACACGGATCTATCCGTGACTCTCGAGTTGAGAGCTTCCTATGTGTAAGTAGGTGTGCAGATTCTGTGACATTATCGGGTTAT